GCGTAGGCGGCAACAAGAAGGGGGAAGCAAGTAGGAAAAGTAGAAGATGCACACCGCCTCGAGAAGAGTTATAGTTAGAACACCTTCTCGATGTCAGATACATTACTAGAAGAGAAAAGGGTGGACGTCGAAGGTTGTCCAAACAAAAATCTCAAACAAAAATCTCAAACAAAACCCTAAAATGAGAAAAATTGTCATGTCCCCACACGGTGCTTAAAATTACTTAAAGTGGGAACAACGATAGGACGATATAAACATTTCATTTTACTTTCTACAATATTTTTTTAGAAACTTTTAATAAATAAAAAGTCACTAATCTACAAAGTGCAATAAAATTTAACATCAAAAAATAATACCATAAATTGAAAACGATAGCCCAAACCAGTACTGAACAGTATATCAATATCAGAAAGAAACTGTAAAAAGAAACAAAAAACATAATTTAACTAATACATATCAGTAGCAACCCTCCTCCTGTAAACCAAATATCTCCAATCAGACATATCAACCTAAAGTTTTTCTTCTGCTAAAAGAAAAATATTAATTTCAACAGTAAGTTTCACATAATGAGTAGTTATAATCTAAATATGCAGTAAATTATTATTCTTATGCTATGCATGAATGACCTATAAAAATGCAGCTCATTAATATATAAAAAACATAAACTTTCGTTTTAATTTTATCTAACCCCGTTCCACTTTAAGTATTTACCACTTTAACATCTTTAATAGTCATAACACGATTACCATCATGCCTGAAATTATTATAAAAAAAATGCTCGAAGATCCCCTCAAGAAAATGTATCCGAAAGTACATTTAAAATGTAACCAAAGATACCCTGCAGGATTACCATCATGCCTGAAATTATTCTAAAAAAAATGCTCGAAGATGCCCTCAAGAAAATGTACCCGAAAGTACATTTAAAATGTAACCAAAGATACCCTCAAATTATACCCAAAAGTACACTTTCATTATTTCCTTTAACAAGCACGGGTACATAGCATCCCTTGTTAGTACGGTCTGGGGGTTATCTTGTATAACTTAATTCTTAACATTTCATATTAATTAAAATCTTTTAAAATGTACATTCATATATAAGTTATTTTTCTCTCATCTCTCATGACATTTCAGACTTTCAATATGCAAGATATAGCTGAAATTCTTATTTTAAATCATTTAAAAAAACAATTCTTCATTTACTAAAATATTAATTTAATATATTAAAAAAAGATAATTACTCACCTTTGTTTTTGAAAGACCAATAAAATATCTATCCCTTCACGTCACTTACTAGCACATAAACCAAATAAATGTGCATATAATTATAAGAATTTTATTCTAAAAGAAAGATTTAATGCAGTTACCTTAGTTAAGTACATAAGAATGATTAAAAACACCAATCTCATATGACGTTATGATTCTTAGCCTTCCTCAAAATCTGAGAATTTATCAACCATTTACACTCACTCTTTCTGATTACATAAAAATTTAATAACATTAATTTAAATAATTATATAATTTGTTATAATAACAATCTAGCAATAATAATTACCATATAAGTTGCTCCAAACGATCTCCCACTTAACTCGTATGCTCTCAACTTCTCGTTTGAATTAGAATTCACTATTTGTTAAAATTAGAATTCACTATTTGTTAGAGCTTTGATATCAAATACTATTTGTTATTCACTATTTGTTAGAGCTTTGATATCAAATAAAATAATTCATTAATATTATCATTAAACATACACACAATCTAACACGCATTTATATAATTATTCATAATAAAATATATTAACTTACTAAAACATTAAATTTACCTTATAAAGTTTTTGGTGCCCTATGTTTCTTTCGGTCCCGACGAACCCAACAGAGTAGCACACGCTAAAGCTTCAGCTCCCCTCTTCTTCTCGCATGCTAGCTCTCTTCTTTCACCTCTCTTCGGTCTCAGCTAGATCTAGAACAACACATGAGGCTCTTGTTCCTCTCGCAAGAATAGCGCATCTCCTTCCTCTGTAGACAAGCACGACACAATGTCTTCTACCTTTCATGCACAATACCGTGAGATCCCCACTTCCCACTTCCCTTCTCCTTCAGTAGTAGTTTGTCCTTCAAAAGTACGTGCACGAGTCTTCCATCTCGTATTTTTTGATCTCGTGTGACCCATACAACAGCCATAGTCTTCATCTTCCTCTCCTTCCTCTATGCACACGTGAGCAGAACACTGGTTAAGCTCCTTCACCTTTGACTTCACCTCTCTCATCTCTTAGATAGCCTTATTATTATATTATAAGGCTAACGATCGAGAGATAGCCTTCCCAACTCGACTTCACATAACAAATCGTCCTAACAATTCAATTTATTAGTTTATTATTATTATATTATATTACAGTTATTTATTTAATATTATTATTATCTTATTCTTTTATTTAAAATCCAGTTATTACAATAACTCATATATATATATATATATATAAGTAGGAACATGGTGGCGAACTCTACTAGCGCCCGACGGCGAAACCCAGAAATTAACCTCCGGCTTCTCTATTGTCCTCGTTTGCTCCTATTTCGTCGGTTGCTGGCCATGTCTTCTCGCAAGTATCCTCCGGCGTCGCAGATTGCGTCTCATCTCGCACTGCTTCGTCGTCGTTTGCGTCTCCTTGGCAGAGCACAACACCGACTGCTGTCAGAGTCACTCGAACCTGCTCGACGCCCTGTGCAGACTTCGACTGGGCCCTGCGTCTCCTCGGCAGGACACAACGCTGACTGCTCAACCAAAGTCGCTTGAACCTGCTAAACGCCTCCTGTTTCGTCTGCTGTGGTTGTGCAGACTTGGGCTGGCGGTAGCCAAGCTGCGCCAGTTGTACTGTTGCTGCTACTGTGTCTTGTTTAAACCACACTGATGGCCTCAGGGCTTTCCTACGTCGTTGCCCTGGTCGATGATAATCCTTGCAGTCTAATATTCCCCCAAACGTACCATGATTCTGCTGCAGGACATAAATATTGCAATCTCATTAAAAAAGTTGGGAAAAAGGCGGACAAACCAACATTATTCTTCTCTAACCCTGAAATCTCATCTCTTGCAGAAAAACACAACTTTACATTAGTTGGCAAGTTCCAATTAGGTCGCAAAAGACGGAGATTATCAAGAAGGTTTTCGAATATTTCAAACTAGTTGAGGATTGGCAGATGGGTCTTCTCGATGCAAGACATGTTATGATACAACTGTGCATAGAAGAAGACTACACAATGATTTTCTCAATTAAATTCATCACAATTCAGGGCAAACCTATAAAGTTGCTCAAATGGACTCCTCATTTTAATCCCAGTCAAGAACTCCCATTTGTGTCTATCTGGTTCTCATTACCTGAACTCAAGCTTCAATTCTTTGACTAACTTACCTTATATGGAATTGGGACTATCCTTGGAAAACCTATGCAGGTAGACACAGCTACAGTTCATTTCTCAAGGCCTTTTACTGCAAGGATTTTGATTGAAAGAAATATTACACTACCAGATGTAGAAATCTGGTTTAGCTAAGCTCACAATGGTTATTGGCAAAAAATCATTATGGAAGGCTAAGCTCACAATGATTATTGGCAAAAAATCATTATGGAACAAAAACCTCACTACTGCAAAAACTACAAGATGTTTGGACACTCGTAAGAGAAATATTTTAGATTGCACCCACAGTTGAGAATCAATAGTCAAAAGCAAGGCACCACTTCTCTAGACACATTGGCTCCACTTGAGAAGGGACTCACCACAAGACAAGATTTGGTATCTGATGTAATTGCAACTTCCTCTAACCATACTACAAGAGATAATGTTCAGACTGCAAATTAAAATAGCACTGCAGCTCCTCTTCAGGAAGCATCAGGTGCAGAGGTGACATTACACACTAAACCTATCGCTGTTGCAACGACTGATTCTCCTTCTACTACGGTTCTACCATCTAATCAAACAGAGGATCGCATGAGCCAATCTTCAGATGAAGAATGATAGGTTTACACTTCTCGGCGGAAAAAAAAGTCTGAGAGCACACTCCATCTTGGAAACTTAATGGATGACACTTTGGTTACTCCTGATAATGGCACGACACTTCAAAGTTTGTTATCTGGCTCCAGCGCTAAAACTAGAGGAAGAGGCGGGACAAAAATGTCTCGTCCCTAGCTACTTATTTTCTGTATGTTTTTTTTTTTCTGAGTCTGTATCCATTTCTGTTGGGGTTTTATTGTACGTTGTATTATATGGGGAGGCGCCTCTTTTAGGCTCTCTCATACACCCTGTATGTATCTTTTCTTTTTCAATAAAATCAGCCCTTTGGGCTTTTCTCAAATATATATATATATATATATAGGAAAGAGGCAGCAGCACTCCCCCTGGTTGAACCTTAGACCGGTTCAGACTTAGCAACCCTGCGTCAATATATACTAGGTTAATGTATTGGAAAATTTTGACATTAAAAGCAAGAACATTTCTTGATTTAAGAATACCAGCTCGCAATGTTAGATTTGGATAAACTAGGATAAACAGTCAGGTAGACTAGTCAAATTCGATTATCAAATCATGAGGTCTGCAGCTAGTAAGTTTACGAGTCTGCTGACATTAGCCAAATTTGTGGTGTCATTGAGTACTGCATTTGGCTAAGTTTATCATATGGAACATGTTTATCAAATGGGATAAAAGCTTTGGATTATAAGTGAGTTAAACATTTACATATGAGACAATAGTCCTGTGTTTTAACAAAATTCAGCTCTAAAGCTAACTATATTAAATAATCTAATCAATATATGACCATCATGGCATACATTCCAAAGGAAAAGCATCACCGCTCTCAAACCAACTAAAATCAATGGAAAATAGACATATCATACTACAGTAGAAAAGCAGAAAAAAAATTTTACAGTACTGGAATTTTAACCTCAGAAAATAATGATTACCATATATCGAATATAAACAAATAGATTATCATAAAACGTGTTGTAGTAAAAGGCATACCCTTGCACTTGCAACGATTAAATGAAAGAGCATAGATGGAATGTAGGAATCAAATCTTCTTGCAAACTGGAGAAGCAATTCTGCAGCAGCTAATCTGAGGCAGTCCTTGTCATTTTCACTGCAAATTAATGGTATTTTAACGAAAGTAATTCAACAGAACCATAAGAAATCGCAAAAAAAAAAAAAAAAAAAAAAAAAATTTTGAGCCCAAAAACACGCCAAATGACACAAACAAAAATAATGAAAAAAATGCCAAATTTGATAATAGCATGGATGAATATAGCCTATAAAATATGTGAATTAATCCAAACAGATGACTTGGCAATTCATATAATTAAAAAGATGAACAAAAGTAACGTGTTTCTATGAGAAACATGAAAGTATTTTTCATTCCACAAAAGATTTGATGCTCGCTAATAAATAGAATAATCTAGCAAGAAAATAAGGAAACAAATTCAAATATTCCTGCATGAATCCAAGGAATTCTAATTTCCTTCATCTGGCATAAATTTGTGGTTCCCTGTTTTCTTTATAATGAATCCTAGAACCTTCATTCCCTCGGCATAAATCTGTAGTTTATAACACAACCCCCGAAAATGGAGAATGAATGTCTTTAACTCCCAGCTTTGAGCTCGTTTCATCAAAAAGTACTCCATTTAGTCCTTCAGTGAAAATATTTGCAAGTTAACTTCGTGAGTGCACACCATACACAGATAATGATTCGCGTAATTTTCGCTTAATAAAGTGTCAGTCAATCTTATTATACTACATATGATCATGATGTATTTGTTTAAAGAGCAATGTTTAACATTGATTTAGTATCACCATACAACATCATAGGTCCTGCCCACTTGATACTTAGTTCATTTAGAATGATTTCTATCCATAATAATTCACAAAAAACTATTCATAGCCCAATATTCTGCATTGGATCTACCTATCATATATTATTTTTTTGCTTTTTCTCCATATTAACAGATGTCCTCCATAACCAAACTCTAAGTGATTGATTAGGTCAAGCAAGTCCATTTTTGGTCAATATAATCCATCAACTATTAACTTTCTTATAAAATCTGGAGCAATGGTCAAATTAATTTCCTTTTCCAAGTGAAAGGAAGCATTGTTCGCATCGAAGGGTTGGAGCTTTCAGCTTTAGTGGACAGCATGAGAAAACATAATTCTTACTATGCTCATTCTTGTCTCAATCAACTAAATTTATTTTATATATGTCAACATAACCATTAGCCTAGTACTTCAAAAAATTAAAAAGACCCATTTGCAGCCTACTACATTCTTTCCCAAAGGCTTATGGGCGATTTCACTTTTAGGCTTTTTGGCAATACATACACTTTCTCTCTTATAACATTTCCCTATTCATGTCATCATAATGTTAGAGATAAAGGAATTGGGATAGACAAAATATATACACTTGTAATGAAAGTATCTTTGATGTGACATGTAGGAACAATGGATATAATATCATTAGATGTGTTGACATAGGGATAGAATTAGGCAAAACACTGATACCGGAATTAACCAACCAACAATAACAAAAGCAAATATTATTAAGCAAACAACTAGGGTTACAATCAAGACTCAAAACAAAAATGAACACATAACAAACATCAAGATCCAGCTAGGGTCCATGAGCGATATCCGTGGCAGAGATGGTGGCTTGGTGATAGGAGAAAAGGAGTAACAACTAGTTAGAATCAGGGGAAGGGTTGGGGGGATTTTGGGTGGCTGATAAGGGGTGTAAGAAGAGGGAGCAGAAGGTAGGGTTGGCAGATAGGAGTAGGTGGGGAGAAGGTCAACGACCGGTTGCCGAAAGAGAAGGGCGGTAAGTGCAGAGATGAAAGCGAGAAGGGAATCGAAGGCGATAGACATCACCTTGGAGCAGGGTACAGCCGGAGCACCACCTGTCATCGAATACAGCTCTAGAAAGACGAAGGAGTCTACAACAGAAATCTGAAAGAATACATAACCTAAACCTAGACTCAGTAAACACACATAAAAAAAAAAAGATAGTCAAAGAAATAAAAAAATGTGAGGAAAGTTTGGATGGCAGTTCCCGCTCCTTGAAGGGTCAGTCAGTTCAGCCTCCTGCTAGACTGAGACCCTATCCACTTGAACCTGTGGTCGGTTCAACTGAACCAAAGCCTAGATCAGGCACTCCATAGGGATTTATAACATAAAGTTATGTAGAATGTCTATTTATTATGTAGCTTACACTCTGGAAAATTTCCCTCCAATAGTTTTAAAATACATTCTCCATTGAAATAATGCCTATGAGGACACCCCATTTTGTTGTTGTGTATGAATGCAAGATGACATGTGAATGCTTCACTTTGGAATTAGAAACTAAAAAATGACTAATAATGTTCTGCATTATCATCCAAAAATTTTAATTTTGCCTCCAAAGGGATTTATAGCCATTCAGTAAAAGGGATGAAAGGTGGCAATAACATTGCTAACATATCTTCTTTTTTTTTATATATAAATATAAATATATATTCTCCTCCGACCACGACGTTTCGCGCCTTAGGGTTTCTCTCCTTCGTTGTGCTCGAGCGTTGTCTCCTACCCTACGACGACGTCTGATTTTGCTTGCAGGTCGCCTCTCTGTTCGACGACGACGTCTCCTCCCTACGACGACGTCTGAATTTGCTCGCAAGTTGCCTCTCTGCCTGACGACGACGATCCTTCTCTCCGGTCGTAGTTCGCCTCTCCGCTCGCAAGTCGTTGTTGCAAGTCACCTCTCTTCCTGTCGCAATCCCCTGAGAGTGGGGTTTGCGCAATTTGTTAGCACTGGTCGCGGTGATGGCGGCTTATCCTACGCCGCCTTTGTCGGTGATAACCCCGCCCCCCCTCCATCCTCTTTCAAATATCTTCTCGCAGCGTTTCCACGATGCTTTCACGCTCGGTGTTGACAACAAGTTTCTCAAAAAAGCATCCCGTAGAAATGGTAAACCTGCAATCTTCCTTTCTAAGGCGGAGATCTCCACACTCGCTGCATCATGCCGGCTAGTTTTAATAGGTAAGTTCCTTTATGGAAACCCTAAACTCGAGCTAATTCGAAAAGATTTTGAGCAAATGAAGATAAAAGGGGATTGGAAGATTGGTAAACTGGACGGTCAGCGTATTCTCATTCAATAATCAGATGATGAAGATTATGCCCAAATGTTTGCAAGAAGACTCGTTCGAATAGATAACCGGGTGATCAAGGTTTTAAAATGAACGGTAAATTTTGACCCTATAGTTGGACCTTCTACCATTTCTATTTGGTTGTGCTTCCCGGGCACCTATTTGATCAAGAGTTCCTCTTCTCCTTAGCTATGGTATATGGTAAACCCCTCAAAACTGATATGCCTACAGCTAACCTGAGTCAGCCTTCTGAAGCCAGAGTTTTGATTGAACGAGGTATTACTCTACATTTTTCGAGGAAGATATGGATTGGCTCACAGCATCAGGGCTTTTGGCAACGAGCAGAACTCGAACAGATCCCTCTTTACTGCACCCACTGCCCTATATTTGGACACTCTCATTCTCAATGTCATCATTTGCATCCGCATTTAAAACCTCCAAGTAAAAATGCTATTGGGTCTGCCCCACTTCATATACCTGTCTCTCCACTCCCGAGTGCAATCCACCGACTATTGAAACATTGGTTGACACGCTGTCAGCTCTCCCTCCCACTGCCGGAGACCCCCTCCCTGACAATATTGTTTATGTTTTTGGGACTGATGTGTTGGCAGATGGTTCAGCTGAGCAACCTATAGCTTCAATCCTTGCTGCAGGATCCTTACCCCCAAAGGATAATATTTGGTTCGATAATTAGGAGAGCATAGCAACTCCACATCCTCAGAAAGCATCAGGTGGAGATGAGACATTTCTACCTCCTCAGAATGAGCATGTTACTGTTAGTCAGAAGCAAGGGGCTCATCCTCTTATACATGCTCGTCAGTCTATTGACCAAACTGATCAAATAAGTCAGTCTTCGGATGAGGAATGGCAGGTTCACACATCAAGGAGGAAGAAGAAGAATGGAGGTCTGTTTGAGCTTAGGAATTTGATGGATGATACACGGTTACTTCGGGTAATGGCACAAAATTCAACAATTTGTTAGTTGGCTCCCTTTCTAGAGTTAGAGGCAGAGGCAGGACTAAACTGGCTCATCCCTAGCTACTTATTTTCGGTGAGTTTTTGTTTTTTGTTTTTTGTTTATTTGTATCTTTTTGGGGATTTGTGTGTGTTGTACCGTGTGGATATGGTACATTTATTGAATCCTCTCATACAACCTTTATGAATCTTTTCTATTTTAATATATCAGCCTTTAGGCTTCTCAAAAAAAAAAACTCAACTACAAACTACTGTTAAAAAAATAAATTAAAATGTTCACAGGATGGATGATCAGGGCAAAAACAATAACACAAAATGATATACTTACTAATGTCTATTTGAATATGAAGCACTGAGAAATAAAACATCCACTTTACTAATGTCTATTTGAAATCCTCCATATTTTGAGGTAATCAAACTCATAACATTGCAAGTTCAATATTTCTACCCAAATAACGATTAAGAAAAACAGATAACGATAGAAAGTTTCATAAAATTTTAGTCTTCGATAAGTTTTAACATTTAAAAGAGTTTATAAATAAATTTTAATTCCAACATCTATTGTGTTATGGTTATCACCATCCCAACATCTGTAGGAAGAGAATAGTTTCCACCAATAAGTATGTGGTTCATGTCATATGTAGCACTTAAATCAATCACCCAAGGAGTTGGTCCTATACTTCTTTATGACATACAATTCAAGAGGACATGAAGACTTACCAAAGAGAAAAAAATGAGCATGCACAAAAAAAAAATTCTTTTCAAGGAATTCTATCAGCCTTTGAATTTTTCAATTTTTTTATTTTTTAAATAAATTCACTTTTATTAACAAGATTGTAGCACCCAATTTTGAGAAATCGGGTAGATTTTTGGCAATTATGATATATACCTCAGGTTTCACATCTCTCAGATTGGGACCAAGTAAATTTTATAAAATTCTTCATGTCAAGTTTTAAGTTATAAGCTTATTTAATTTTATTTAATCCCATAATTAATTCCCTAATCCCATTTACTCTTCTAAGTCAATCTGAGAGATGAGCGATAGAAGAAAAAATATTTATAAAAGACGCAGACAACCAGCAACGAGATATATTTTAATATACTGTTTTAATTTAATTTGATTAGAAGCCCTTTTACTTATTAAATAGTAAAGAAATTTAAAAAACTTAATTATGACCGTATGTTCTTGTCTTGGTTAATTCCAAGTCCCAAACCGAGTCTTGACAGCTTATCTTTTATCTTAAAAAAAATATTAGCAATAATAAAATCATAAGTCAAAGCAAAATTTAATATGAATCTACATTTTTAATTAATCACTAAAAAACCGTAACCATTATGAACAACTTTAAAATCATCTACCATTCTACCAAAATGTTATTTAAATTTTCATTTTTCGAAAGGTATCATTTCATTAATTTCTTCTAGAGCCTTCCAGAATTTTTTTTTTGTTGAACCTACATCTAAACCTAATTGAGGAGAACATGAACTTATAACAATAAAAATTTTAGTATCAACAACAATTAGGGCTATAATTCAACTTCAATTCTATTAATTTTTATATTATCTTTCAAATGCTTATCTATGATAGCACCTACACCATTTTTAGTGCGACTCCAACCTGAATACCAAAGTTCAAAGCCTATATTATCAATCTCCTTAATTTTTCTCCAGCAAAATTAATATTTTTAAATACATAAGATGTTTATCTTAATAAAAATCATAATATGTATTGATTCCATTAATTTACCTATGAGAGTACCTATATTCCAAGATCCTATCCTAATATTTGTTTCATGAACTTCTTTGCCCGCATCCGTTCTTGATCTGGGAACCCTCACAAGGGCGCAGTGTAGCTGCCCTTGCACACTTTTCCCTGTATTCGGGTCATACAGCGCGTTGCTTCCAAAGTACGTCCTAGCATTTACACAAGGATTTAAAGAATTCATGTCATGATTTTTTAACAAAATTTTTACGCATGTTGTTGACTGCCTAATACAATCTTCCACTTTTCACATCTAGGGCTTGGGTCCCGACAATGACAGAGTTAGAAATAAATGAAAGTAAATAAAAAAATAATTCATTTATTGTTCTTTTATTGCACACAATCTTCTACTGTATACTATACTTTTGCACTTTACAAAATATTTTAAAATGATAATTATTATAATTTAGAAACCTTTGTCAACACAATAGTTTTAACTCAACTTGTATTTGTTAACATTTACAGAAAAATCAGCTTTAAACCAAATGAACCCTAGTGAGTATGTGTACAGGTACCGATGAGTGCGGGATAATGATTATTATAGTTCAATATTATTTTCTCTTTGAAGTCAATGTTTAAATATGAATAAACTATTATAAAAATAAGCTTTATGATATTAAATGGGTCAATTGTATTTTGGATTTTATTATTTTGTCAAATGAAACTGCTAGATAGTTTTTATTCATCCGACCGACAGTTCCCGTCTTGCCCGAGACGGGCCGTGACAACAAAAAATTTTGAAGTTTCTCAAAAACCACTTGATGATGACAAACAATAGCAGAAAAGTATGGCAATTTTACTTATTGTGCTCAATTGAAAAATCTAGCTCAACATAAAAGCCATAGCAAAATAAGGTCTAATATATGAGGTCATGGCCTAGAATGGTTTTTGGAAGGTCATATTCTCGTAATCATATAATGCTAAACTAAACATTATCAAACTAAAGCTATTGGGGTTTCAAGACTAAATAAATCAAATAAAAATAAAAAAAGTGTTACAAATCAGACATTTTGACAAGAATCACTGGGGCATGTATATGATATGCAAAATAATTAAACAAGTAACTGATAAAGCCATCCCCTAGTAAGAAGACTTGACATACTCTGAGATATTGTTATAAATAATGCCTTCCCCTTGAATTGTGTTTTCCAAGATTTTCATACTTTCTTCTATTTGTTGGCCGACTTGAGAAGCTTGGATTGATAAGATACTTTTGAACAGAGCCTTCATTCCATAAATCTTTAGAAACAACGCAGTGAACAAAATATTAGTGTTAACAAAACATGATACAAAAGGTTTAAAACATTACACATGAAATGATGAGCACCTTAAGTTAGGGGGGGAAAAATAGAACAGTACCAAGAAAATCAATGAACAAATGATGTTCCACGCAAAAAACACTGCTATAAAAAATGAAGAAGAAACCATTTAATGGGAACTTTATTATACATAAAGTACCATAATATACTAGGAATTTCATATTAAGGGATCTAGACTTTTAAGCTTATACTAGGTTAACATCAACTGCCCAAATATTCAATATCATATTTGATTAACACTTGGTGAGAATTTTAGAAAACATAATCTTCTCAAAATGTATGGGGGACGAGTGATATTGATAAAACATAATGGAGTTAATACTTCAATTTCTTCTTAGCCGTGAAATTAGATAAAGAGCAAGAGAAATAAATACCGAAAGACAACATGGGGTTGGGGACAAATAAAGATAGGGAGCTCCTCTTTTCTGAGAAGAATGATTAGACTACGTAAAAATAGTAAAGAAGGTAGAGAAGTTTAGCTTTCAAATTTTTCATTCCCCATTTCATGTGAAAGAGGATTTTAAAGCTTAAAAAAGGAAATGATTGGGGGAATTGTCTACTATCATTTATTGCAATTTTGTTCATCTTTCACCCATGCCACTTGTGTCGTCTTGTGCTGCTTCAACTGTGTGGTTGTCTATCCTAGGCCGCAGCTTCACCCACATACAGGGTTTTGAATAGTTTTGTCCGCATTAGGTGCCTTGCATTTAGCGCTTGGGCCCCCATTTCATGTGCAAGATAGGTGTTAGGCTCCTAAGAGGCATCCGTCTCTCATGATGTTGGGGCCTCATCAGCACATTACCTCACTCTCATCTAGACCCGCTCTTACAATTTTTTAGCAGCCCTTGATGGGCCATCCAAATTATATATCATTGAGGTAGATTTTTGCACAAACAGTAATGCTAGTTTTCGTGCGTGATTTCTGCCATCGACATCTGTTCGGAGATCCCCAATAGGTTTGGACACACCAAAGCCTCTTTGTATCCATACTCATGCAATGAGTTTCCCTAGAGCCTTAATTTACCCCAGCGAGTTCACCACCATTTTATTGTGGCCTTTTATGTTTGGAGATCCCCAGCAGGTTTGGACACATAAAAGCCTCTTCGTATCCATACTCATGCAATGAGTTTTCCTATAGTCTTGGTTGACCCCAGTGAGTTTTCCACCATTTTATTTGGTGGCCACTTATGTTTTGAAGGCTGCCCTGCAACCTTCATCCCCATGGATTGAACTATCTCCACCTTATCTTTCGCACTATTGAGAAGATTATTCGTGGTACGAATGTTGTACATCTTTTCCCCTCATACAACAATTCCACAATATTCTTTCATCATAGCTCAAAGACTCACATAAACATCATTTCATCTTTTTTTGGGCAAGCTTACTCTTTTTTTTTCTCCTGATAATGAAACTTCAATAGGTCGTTGTTACCATAGGAAGAGACCCAAACCAGAATAGAAAATAGAAAATATTATTGCTTCCATTCAAAACTGTTACAACACAACACTTGCAAACAGGAAAACAACACACACAATATCCTAGGGCAAAGACAAAGAAGGGTGGGCTGCGGAAATAGAGATTCATTGAGGCAGGACAGGGTTGGAAAGTGGGAAGTGCAGGAAGGAAGAGTAGGGGAGATAGGCAGTAGCAGTAGTGCAGGAAGAAGGGGTATGGAGAGGCAGCTGTAGTAGGATGGCAGGGAATTTGTGGCTGGGAGGAGGAACACGGGAAAGGAAACAATGAAGGAGGGTGGTAGAGTCACGGTAGAAGCAAGTTATGGCAATGGGGGAACGATTTGTAGATAATCGCCACCTTAGGAGAGGGATAGAGCAGAAACACAGCACTAACCGTTGGATACAACCCTCGAAGAGAAAACAGGACGTCGGTGGCTGTCCTCGAGAAGTGAAATCAGAAAATAACATAAGATGAACCCTAAAGCATAAAAACACATATAAATAGAAGAGAGATTAACAGTAAATGAAAAAAAAAAAGAGGGGATTCCGCCTAATGAAAAGAGAGGGAGAGGGGGTCAGTTCACTTTTCGGGGAAACCCCTGTGTCGGTCGTCCTTCCATGATGATGATTCACAAGTTCTTGTTTCATTTACAATTTTTAGGTGCTTATTTTGTCGAGCTCGTCGACTATCAACATGTCATCATAAGGCCTTCTTTTGAAGCGAGTTATTATAGGCTATTTTCAATATAATCCTAGAATATTTAAGGGTTCTTGTTGTGCATGTTAAATTGTTCACCCCTAATTTAACATCCACTTCTCAATAAATGATATCCCCATCTACGTAAGATAGGACCTTACATGATTGAAAGCAAAATAAATATAATCAAATCTCATATTATGGGATATAATAAAAATATAGCCCTATTAAGATCAAATCAAACATTGGATTACAGAAAACATGACTAAATTTAATTACATGAAAACTTAAAGAAAGATCAAATCAAATATGATTAAATCTTGATAATTCTAATGATACAGAATAAGTAACAATTGAATTGAAAAATCAACTGTAACAGGATCATGGATATCCAGAATGAGTGTTTAGTTTGCCTTGAAAATTTATTTTGGAAGCCTAGTTTACGGGATGCTTCATTCTATGGGTTTACACCTAACTAAACTAAAAGTAAGATATGCATAAAAACCACATCTCATCCCTGCCTATTACTTCCTTTCTCTCAATTAAAAATTAACAATCTAACTCTTTTCTACTCAAGTCAAAGTGTAACCAGACCCCACTGCTCCTCTGTGAAAACCCTAAAGTAGGTTGAAGCCAAACGCTTAAACATCCAGGCATTTTTTATTGTAACGGTGGAATTTTAATAGAAAGTTCAAAGTTAAGCTCGCTCGTCCTCGAGCACTTCTGAGATGGGTGACTTCTTAGGAAGTTACACCAAAGGGGCAAAATTGTGAGGCTGCTAGGCCAAAGCAAACAATAACTTGATAGATGTTTGGAATATCACAAATGCTATCAGAGTATAACACCAACCTAAAGATAGAATTATATGACTAATGGATGATTCTGAGCTAAGAGCACGGATGAGAGCATCAGATACGCAAGTGGGGAAGATTCTGAAACCCTTAAAGTAAATTGAAGCCAAAATCTTAAACATCAAGACGTTATTTGGTGTAACGGTGGAATTTCAATAGAAATTGCAAGGTTAAGCGTGCCCGGCCTAGAACACTCTTGGGATGGGTGACCTCCTGGGTAGTTACTCGAACAAGGCAAAACCGTGAAACCACTAGGCCAAAGAGGACAATAACTTGATGGGTGAGAGTTTGGGCTGTCACATACTCCCACACACAAACTAAAAGTTCAAAATATTTGTAGTGATATACATTAGTGTGTGAGACAAGTGCTCAAATGCAAACATAGTTGTCATGCTTACTTCTTTGGCAGAAACGATGGCAGCATATATGAGGTGTTATTTATTTTCAATATACCAGATTCAACCCTCGAACCCGAAGGAGTTTTGAAAGAAGAAACATAAAAAGTAGAAAAAATAATATAAAGGAATGCAGAGGGATAGAAGTTGAACAAGACAATAAACCTATAATATTATTGCTACTGATACCCAAAAAAAAAAATGCAACAGCATATATACAGCAAATATATATATATATTTGACAAAAGATTCAATTGCTGTGCAAAAATTCAACAAGAGGAAAAAACAAACATCTGCTCGATAAGAAGTAAAACATTAAACACTTCATAACAACAAAAAAGAAACCTTCACAGCACTGCTAGACACTTAAGATAAACGACATCCAAGATTAGTAACAAGATCATTTCTTGCAGCACTCGAAATATCCTAAACAACCCAACTAAAGAATTAGTCTAAGCTTTCTAGGGAGATTTCCTTGCCTTCGTAGGCAAATTGGGATCTTTAGCGGCAGTCTTTTTCGGCAACAAAACAGGGTTTATATTCGGCAGAACTCCTCCATGAGCAATGGTCACACCAGCTAGAAGCTTTACAAGCTCATCATTTCTCACAGCAAGCAACAAATGCCTGGGTATTATCCGATTATTCTTGTTGTCTCCAGCTGCATTCCCGGCCAACTCCAACACCTCAACTGCAAGGTACTCTAAAACAGCAACGAGGTAAACAGAAGCGGCGGTGCTGGCATGCTTTGAATAACAACCCTTCTTGATATAGCGAGCAATGCAGCCTACGGGGAACTAAAAGCCAGCCTTAACACTTTAGGTGACCCTCTTCTTCAGCCCTCCTCCCTTGCGGCCGCCGACTGCCTTCTGCGGTTTCGTTGTAGAAATCATGATTGGATTTTCGAACCTCTGAGAGCTTGCTTTACGGGGAACAAAATAATTGGCAAACTTCATATATATATATATATATATATAGATGAAGAAGCTCTATTGCAGGCAGTCTCTGGTGGTTTTCGCCAGAAAAAAAGACTACTCAATAAGAGGTTAATTTGTCCAAGGTCATAATAAAAACTTTGGAGAATTATTCTTTTCTTGCAGAGGGCTAATATAGTGAGCAGTAGGCTATTCCTTTTTTTTTATTATTGGCACTTTGTCTGTTGGATTGTGTGGTTTGTTGAATTGTGGAATATAAAGGATTTATGTTCTTTAGGTGGTTTCAGAAAAGCATATATACCTTATGTTTCTTTCTGAATATGTTTGTCATTGATTGAAGGGCATTAAGTTATGATTTTTAAGGTTATTTCATTCAACATTGCCTTCTGCTTGTTGATAGGTTTTAGGTAGCTGTAGTCAAACATATATAAATTGTAGATCCCCCTGACGCATTCATGCCATCTCGTCCCACCCGAAGACGAAGGGCTTCGACTCCTCTGTTCCATCGTCTTTGCGGTTCGGTGGTTCGTCTCTTCTGCGCTTTCGATTTCGCACGTCGTCTCTCCTCTATCTGCCTCTGCCGCTGTAATTACACGCTCGTAGAAGAAGGGGGGTACGCTCCTCTATTTCTTTCATCTGCTTCGTCGAGCTGCACCTATGCTCGCTGCTCTTTGTAGGGCCGATCGCGCTCTGCGGCTTCGTTTCCTGCTTCTG